AAAAGCTTGCGAGTGAGTCCCCCTCCCTTTGGGAAATGGCTCCTGGGCATCAGAGAAGCAGCCCGGTTGAATCCTGTTTCTCTCTGCTGCCCAGGAGCTGTTTCCCAAAGGGAGGGGGGCTTACTTGCAAGCTTTTCGCTCTCCCAGCAAGAGCAAATGAGAGAAGCAGCCGCTGACCTGGCCGGAGCCGACACAAGCCTCTCCCCTGTTCCTTCCAGCTGAGTTAGGCTAACCCTAACCCCAATTGAGCAGCCTTGATCTGCCTGCTCACAGGTAAGCCTGTGAGTCATGCTAGCCCCTCTCCCACTGTCCCCGGACCTTGCCGGGTCCCACCATCCTCGGCCTAGGCTGGCTGGCTTCCCCACCGGCATGGCCCCATCCTAGCAGCAGTGCTGGCTGGGGTCTAGCTAGCCTCCCCACCACCATCCCCGGGCTTGGCTGATTGGCTTCCCCACCAGCGTGGCCCCATCCCGCCGGCAGCGCTGGATGGGGCCTAGCGAGGAGCCGGCCCCATCATCCCTGGGCTCGGCTGGCTGGCTAAGCCGCCATGCGGTGCTCCGCCAGCTCTCCCTACCATGTAGCGGCTGTGGCGCAGTGAGCAGCAGTGCTCCAACCGGTAGGGCGGCGGATCCAGCTGCCTCCCATAAACAGTGCCGTCGTCGCAGCGCCTCCGCCACCTGTGCTGCCTCCCCCCGCCTCTCCTGGGGGCAAAATGAAAGGAAGCGGGCAGAGGCCGCGGAGGCACTGCGGCAACAGTGCTGCTTATGGGAGGCAGCCAGGCCCATCGCCTCTGCTGCCTGTGGAGGCGCTTTGGGAGGGCTGGGGGGGGATGCTCAAGGTCCTGCTGCTGCATGCTGCCCCCTCCCTTTCTTCCTTTTCCCACCACTCACTACTGACTGGAACTTGCCGGATCATTCAGTTCATCCCAGACCAGGTGTGTCTGTGTGTGTGTAAGAGAGAGAGAGAGAGAGAGAGAAGGAAAGAAAGAGCAAGAAAGGAAAAGGAAGGGAGAGAAAGAAAGAAAAAGAAAGAGGAAGGGAGGAAAAGAAAGAAATAGAAAGGAAAGGAGGGGGGAGAGAGAAAACTCTGTGCTATTATTTTTAATTGTTCCATTATTTATCATATATTAATATTTTACACTGTCCCTACACCTAGAGTGATTTTACTGCCTTTCTTTTGCCCAGGTATTTTTCAGGGTTTACATGTCTATAGTCCAGAGCATAAATACATGTGTGTTTGACAGAGTTGAAAGGGACCTTGGAGGTCTTCTAGTCCAACCCCCTGCTCAGGCAGGAAAACTCTGAGGATGCCAAACTCTGAATAGAGGTCCTGGGAAATATGTCAGAGTAACAGAAGGACACTTAGAAGGGACCTTGGGGGCAACTCTATACAATTTCAGAGAAATGGCTGTCCAGTCTTTTGATAAAACCTTCCAGTGTTGGAGCACCCAGAACTTCTGGTGGCAAGCAGTTCCACTGGTTGGTTGTTCTCACTGTCAGGACGTTTCTCCTTACTTTTAGGTTGCTTCTCTCTCTGTTCGGTTTCCATCCTTCTGGTGCTTTGGAAAATACATTGCCCCCCCCCCTCCCCCTCTTTCTGGCAGCTCCCTAAAAGCCTGTTGCCAATCATCCTCTTGGGCAAAGCATGTGAGCCATTTCCTCCTTTCAGTGGCCCATGAAAGTCCATCTGTAGTAAGCAGATGATAAAGTCAAAAAAGGTGAACAACATTTTTACACAACTATAGATAAGTTGAGGCTGGGGGTGAGAAGGAATGGCTGGGAGGGGAGGGGCCAGGCGAGGCACCCCTTGACGTGAGTGACATTGAGCTGGTCACGCCCACCCAGACACATGACCAGTCACATGACCACCCAGCAAGCCATGCCCACCCAGTCACATGACCACCAAGCCACACCCACAAATTAAGCCACACCCATAGAACTGGTTAAGAAATTTGAGTCCCACGCCTGATTATATCCACACAACCAGGGGTGGGATTTGAATTTAACTGGTTTGGTAGGCGTGGCCTAATTTGTGAGTGTGATTTGGTGACTGGGCATGGCTTGGTGGTCTCGTGACTGGCTGGGCGTGGCTTGTGTGTAAATATTGTAAATGTTTATGTAAATATTTAATTTTTTATAAAAAAAAGCAACTTTTACCCAAAATCAGGCAAAGCAGGCAGGCAGACTGAGTTGCTTGCAGAATCACAGATTCACTGAGAGATCTACCTTTCTGCAATCTATTGCCTGAGTCTGCACTGAAAAATAGAAGCTTCAGTCCTAAGGAAGATTCAGCTCTGCTTTTAGAAAGCAAGAAATCCAACAATTTCCTGCTTTCTAGCTAATCTTAATATCCCTTCACAGCTGATGGTCGGGGGAAAAAAAGGATGGAAAAATAGCAACTTACGAAAAATTAGGCGAAGGCACAAGGAGGCAAGTTGGATGGTGTGCATGCCAGGTAAGAAGTGAGTGGGTGGGGAAGGGCGGGGAGGGGCCAGCCAGAGGCGCAATTTGCCGGTTTTCCAAACTGCACAGAATCGTAACAACCGGTTCTATAGAACTGGTCTGACCAGGTAGAATTCCACCCTTGCAAACAGCTCCTTTCCTAACCGTTGGCCTCTGTTGGCCTCTTTATTTTACAAAGCCGCTTTTGGCAATCGTGTTTGTGTTGGAAGGGCTTGCGAATGGCCTCCTTTATTGTCTGCTCTAAAACGTTGTCAGGTTTTTGAGTCACCGTCCCATCACGAGAGGGTCCTCTTTCCTGCTGGAAGAGCGGAGTCCCGCTGGCTGGCCTTCCATCCCCTGGCCTCTCCCTGGGCCTGCAGGATTCTCCCAGGACACCTGGCGGAGGCCCCAAGAGCTCTTGGCCCTTCAGCCTGCTGGGGCGTATTTCATCGGGGACCGGCCACATCCGGCTTAGCCGGGGGGGGGGTCCCTTCCGCCTCCTTTCTGGCCTGCACCCTCCCCTGCTGAACTCCTCCCTAGCCTGGGCCACACAAATCGGCTTCACAAAGAGCTGTGCTGGCGCAGGAGTCAGAGTGCAGGATTGCAAGCCAATTCTGCCGGCTGCCAGTTCAATCCTGACTGGCCTGAGGTTGACTCAGCCATCCATCCTTCCGAGGTCGAAAAATGAGGACCCAGATTGCTGGGGGCCGTATGCTGACTCTGTAAACCGCTTAGAGAGGGCTGGAAAGCAGTGGGAAGTGGCATCTAAGCCTCGGTGCCTTTGCTATTCCGCTGTGTGCCGAGAGCCTTTTCCGTGATGGTTCCCCCACCAGCTCCTTTGGCCCCGGCATCTCGGCTGGCGTTCGCCCCTCTAGCTGTGGAGCTCCCCTCCACCTTTTCTCCCTGACTCACGCTGACCCTTCCCAGGTGGCTTGGAGCTCCTCCTCCAGTTTTGGCTCCTTCGTGGGAGACCTCTTCACCCTCATCGCCTCCTCAAGAGGTTCCTGCTTGTCTGCTTTCTCTTGGAATTGAACCCAGAACAGCATTGGCAGGGGCCTGGGTCTTCTAGTCCACCCCCGTCCATGGCAGGAGACCCTATGCCATTCCAGCTTTTTGCACTGGATGGGACACGTAGAAGGAGTAACAGAATAGAAAAATAGAGATGGAAGGGACCTCGGAGGTCCTCCATTCCAACCCTCCACCCAAGTAGGAGAGCCTACACCATTCTGGACAAATGGCTTCTTAAAGACCTCCCAGAACTTCTGGAGGCAAGCTGTTCCACGGGCTAATTGTCAGCAAGTCTCTCCTTAGTTCTAGGTCCAAGACTGCCAGTCCCTCAAGGGTACAACCGCCAGGGGCCTGCCAGCCTGGGACCCTGGCAAGGACTGGCTCAGTTGCCAGAGGAATCCTGGGTCTTCTCCAGCAGCTGAGACGGGCCCCCACGGGCCCCACGGGGGTAGAAACCAACCCTGGTCATAGGGCTTCCCTGGGAAACAGCCCTTTCTTTAAAGACGGAAGGAAAAAACCTGGATGGAAAATGGCAGCTACTCTTCATCAACGGAGGAGCAAACCATGTTTTTAAGAATACAGAAGAGGCATTATTGGCTATTACGAGTAATATTATGGCTAGTGGATTGCTGCAGGATCTCACCCTTTCCACCCATTGGCTCTTTTTATCCATTTTAATGTGTTTTACCTCTTAAGATCTGATGTTTTAGTCTTTTAACCCTGTAATTGTTTTATTCTCTTATTTATGACGTTGTAAGCTGCCCAGGGAAGAAAGATGGGCAGTATTCAAATTGAAATAAATAAATGAGACTATTTACCAAAATCAGCTGAATAGCAGCAACATTTCTGCTTTGTCTGGATTGCCTTAGCAGCCACTGAAAAGCTCAGAAATGTTGAATACACAAACAGGATTTTCTGGAAGCAAACCAACAGCCCAGCAATATTATTTTTTCTTAAGTTATTAAAGTGCTAGAATTGAATACTACTATATCTAAGAGCCAGCTTGGTCCAGTAGTGAAGGCTAGAAACCAGGAGGTGCTGAGTTCTAGTCCTTAGCATGGAAACTGGCTGGGTGACCTTGGGCCAGTCACATTCTCTCCGCCCACAAGGCCAGGATAGGCAACAAGCTGGTTGGTCAATTCCAGTCACAAGAAGACATTGATTGGGAGGAAAAAATAACATGCTCTTAATGCTATTCAAAAATTTACAATTGAAAACAGGATTTTAAAGGTTTGGGGGAGAATTGAATGTTCAATTTTATCTCAGCAAATTGGAATTCACGTAGTTTGCAGGCTTCCAATGTATTCTGTTCAGACTGTTACAAAAGAGGGAAGGATGCAATCATGGGAGGTTTTAAGGGTTGGCTAGATGGAATTCACCAACTCTGCCCCCTTGACAATTAAAAAACTTTTTTGATTCTGGGTGGTCAAGGCTCAATTTCTTCTAACAACCGAATGTGGTCATCTGCACATCAATCGATTGTAAAATCCTGCTCTTTTGGGGTTTAGCGGTTTTATAACTAATCTTAATCAGACACACTCAAGTTCTTTATTTTTATTCACGTCTGTAGCTTTAAAGAAAAAACCAGCTATTCAAAAAAAGAACAACAAAAGGGGGGGGGAGCACTTGAAGAGCAGGACACCCCAGTGTGTGTGTCTTGGGTGACCCAAAATCATCCTTGGGGCTGCCTGGAAGGGGACCTTGGCGAGGGAGCCTTCCAGGCGCTGCCCCGGGGCCTGAGGCCCACCTTCAAGGAAGGGGGCAGGGCGAGTCTCTTGTGGGCACCGCCATGCTTTGCCCTCCGTGAACTGCTCCCACTGCCGTGCCCTGTTGCCCTTCCCAGCTCTGCCCTTGCCTGCTCAGGAGCCCACTCCCCCCACAGGAAACCAGCCGATCTTCACTAGGTGGGGGGAGGCCTCCCCTTCGGGTTCACCCACCGACAGGTGAGGAGGTATTCGGGGTAGGCCTGTGTGTCGTTGAAGATGACGAAGATGGAGGGATTCTTTGGGTTGTCTACCGTGCTGTCGTACCGCCGGAGGGTGGCATCTCCTTCCCGCAGGGGAGGGGCTCGCATGCTAGCGTTGCCCGCTGTGTAGTCCCCCACCAGCGTCCTGGTGACAAAGACATATTTGTTGCCATCGGGGCTGCGAGGCGAGTAGCGATCCTGCGCCGAGATATGCGCCTTGACTGCGAAGTAGACGCCGTGGCCGTAATGAGTGGCTGGAAACGGGTGGAGAAAGGAGCCATTCAGTCAATGGAGGCACGGAGAAAGGAAACACGTGGAAAATATGCAGAAGCATCCAGACAGACAGGAATGCGGTGAATAACCCGCAACAAATTAACGGACATTTACGGAGACTGTAAGCCCTACGAAGGTTTAAAAATGTGAACAAAGCGCAATGGGAGCCGTATTACAGCGAAGGTTGACACTGAAAAGCAAGAAAACAGCATGCAAGGGAACACAGAATAATGTGCAGTATCTCACACGTATGAAGCTGTGGGGCGCTGCCCCTCCCGTCCCTTCAGGGCGCGAAGAGGAAGCGAGGCCCGTGCCCGGCCAGCCGGTAGCTGATGCAGCCTCCAACAGCCCCTCCGAGAGGCCAAATGCCAAAAAGCAACCTCAGCACCATCTTGCCCAGTTTCTCTCCATCTCAGAGACTGGCTGGGCACTGACTGGTGCGGGTCACCTATAAGCCGCCTCCTGGCAGCGCAGTGCCCAGAAACCCTCTCCAGCTGTGCAGCCCCTCCCCCCACCCAATTCAGCCTCTCTAGCGGCTGCCAGTCCCCTTCCTGCCCCCTCCCACCAAGGGCACCAACGTGGCTGCTGCAGCTGCTCTCACTTCTGGTGTGGCTTCTCTGCGGCGGGTGTGTTTGGGTGTGTGTGCTTCTTGGATATGGGCACACATCCCCAGGCCAACCCCTTGCCCCCCACGAGAATGCCCCCTTAGGAGCCACCAAGGAGGGGTCCCTCTGCGCACAGTCACTGACCGTTCCTGCCACAAAAGCTGCGGTTGAAGCCGTGCTGGCAGATCTCATGGCTGGACTCCTCTGTTGTGCCATGGTACAGGATCCGCTCCACCGCCCGGTGCCCGCAGGCCTTCTCCATGGCAGCCTTCTTCAGCTGGTACTGCTGGTAGAGCAGCGGGTGCATCACCTTCTCCAGCTGCAAAGCAGGCGGGCAGGCAAGTCAGCCCCGCACCCAGCTCCATTCCCTCCCTGCCCCACTGGGCGCACGGGGCTTAGGGCCCGCTCGACCCCAAACCTGGGCTGTCTCCAAGCACCCCCCCTCCCCTTTCTCACGCAGGGACCCCAGCTCCATCTCTGCTCTGAAGCAGCCCCAAAGGGGGGCAGCTATGAGGAACCGGGGGGGGGGGGGCGGGCAGGGGAGGAATTCCCATCCCTCGTCCTTCGAGCCAGGGGTGCCAATGGCAGAGCCAGGCTGGGCCAGCTTGTGGGGAGGCTGCCCTAGCGTCCTCCGGGCCAATCCTGGACCACTGCCCTTTGCAAGGAAAGGGGGGGCTGTGCCCCAGTTGCGAGACCAGGCGGGGGCCTCTCCGCAAGGCTGAGGGGGCTCCCCCAGTTGGGGGCTTGGCAGGGGCTTGGGACAGAGGAGGCCGGCCGACATCCCTCCCAGCAGGGCCGAACCGCCAGCACAGAAAGAGGCAGCACATCCCGGAAGGGCCCCCGCTCTCACTGCTCTTCAGCAGCCCTTCCCGGCCCGGCTTTTCCAGAGGGGACTTGTGGGTCAAAGGCAGGGTGTCCGCTGAACCCACAGCAGGGGCAGATGCCAAGGAGGGCACCTGTAGAACTGAGGCCCTCTCCAGGTTTGGCTCAAGGGAACAACCCCACATGAAAGCAAGAATCCCAAACGTGGCAGATAGAACTCCAACTGACCTGGTTAGGGGTCTTCTGCTCCTCAGAGCCCCACAACCGCCCCTCTCAACCTGGCTGAGACCCCACCAGCCAGCCTCACGGCCAGAGAGGGCTGCCCCTCCGCTGAAGGGGACAGAGACAAACAGCTACCTTGACGATGCACAGCTGGCTGTGAAGGCCGCCCAGCGTGTCGTAGAAGCCTCGGACGGTCATCTGAAACTCTGCGGAGTCCTCAGCCAGGGGGAGCAGCTTCACTTCGCCCTCAGCTGGGGGGTCTAGCAGGGCTGCAGAGAAACACAGACCATGGAGGAACAGCTGCTCTCCACCCCCAGGCCAGGGGGCCCCACTCTGCATGCCCAGGGAGGTCTGTGCTGCCACAACAGGGGCACCAGGAACCCACTGGGTGGGGCACATGTGCAGGGCATCTACCTGGAGAAGCGAGTGGAGGCTGGAGCTCGGTGCGGCCAATGGGCAGAGTGCGGCCATTGCCAACGTCATACTCCTCCATCCGCTCAAAGTCCACAGCAAAAGGCCGCCCATCGAAGAACACCTCCATGCGCTTGTGGCCGCGGCACCATGCTTGCTCCAGCAGGGCACTGGCCTGGGCCGAATAGGGGGTGGGGAAGCCCTGCTCCGAGGGCTCCCACCGGACCCAGCGGGCATCCCCACCGCCCATGGCCACTCCCACGTGCAGCAGCCGAGCCAGCAGCAGGGCGAGGTCTCGGGTGGCGGCCACAGGATAGTCCAAGAAGCCCAACACGGTGGCTACAGGGCCAGCAAGCTTGATGCTCACCGCATGCTTCCTCTCCAGGTAGGCCAGGTAGTCAAGGCAGAGAGCGGGCAGGGACAAGAGGGCCTCATTCTGCACCGTTTCCTCCCGCACCTGCATGCCCAGGGCACGTTCCAGCTCCTGCACCACGGCCTCTGCCTCCTCTTCCAAGGCGGTGTAGACCTGCAGACTGGTTGCAGCCGCTGCCTCCAGAGAGGCTTTCATGACAGACAGGATGTCGGCATCAGGACTGGATGGCCGCTCCTGCTCAGAGCGCAGAGAGAGCTCCGTGGCACGCGCCAGCTCCTCCACTTCCTGCCGAGCGCTGTCCATGGACTGCTGGATGGCCAGGAGCAGCTGGGCCTCCTCCTCCTCCAATGCCGTGCTTGGAATGGGGCCTGGGATGGGCAAGGGCCCTTCTTCCATTACGTCGAGGTCAGCCAAGCTGGTCTGCTGCTCGAAGGCGGGGGGGACGTCCGCCAATGGCTCCACGGCTGTAGCGGTCTGCCCCTCCTGCCCTGCTGCAGGAGGGGCCATCCGGGGAGGCTGGAGGGCAGCCAGCAGGCCCTTGATCTCTTCTGCAACGGGAGGGGGACCCAGCTGAGCAGGGAAGCCGCAATGGAAGGTAGGCCTGCACAGAAAGGGGGAACCCTGAAACTACCCCAACCCCACCCCGAGCTCCAACCTTAGACCAGGAAGGGGAGGGCGGGCTGCCCTTCACCTCCAGGGACAGGCATTACCCAGGTTAGCTTCTGGGCTCTTCAGCTGCTGCTTGAGGCCACGCAGGGAATCCCGCTGGCACACGAGGGCAATGGGCTCCTGGGACGTCTCCAACGTGTGCTGGTGGGGGGGAGAGGCCCTTCAGAGGCAACCCCCGCTTTCCAAGCTCTCCCCTCCCCTCCAGCCTCCGGGCCCACTGCACTTCCCAAGCCCCATCCCCTCCTCCAGGGGACGCACCTGGGTCTCTGGGGAGTACCACTGGAGATTCTCCAGCCCGAAGGCACAGCAGAAGCTCCTCTCCAGGCCCTGCAGGATGGCCTGGCCACGCTCCTCCAGCAAGAAGCGGCTCGTACCAGGCAGATGCAGCACCACAGACCGAACCCGGATGGCAAAGAGCAGACTCTGCAGGAGGTCAGCTGCGGCTCGACACGCCCAAGCATCACCGCTCAGCTGCACAGAAGAGACACCGTGCCCGTTTCCTCAGGCTCACTTGTTTTGCTTGACACAAGGTTGGCAAAAGCAGGATCTGACCCCCTCCCTCCTCTTTGGCCACGGAAGCGGGCCATTAGCCCAGTGCCCAAGGACTCGTGGCAACCAGCATGAGAGGGAACACTGAAGGAGGGCAGAGCTGGCAAGTGCCTGGCACCCCGTGTGTTGCGGGCAGGACGTGGAAGGCCCCCGCAGCAGCTGCCCCCTTTTACCCGCAAGCCCGTGACCTCGGCTCCCTCCAGGGGCAGCAGGGTGACATCAGCCAAGCCAGCCAGCAGTTCACAGCGATGGAGCTGAAGGTAGCGAAGACGGCCAGGTTCTGTGGTCACCAGCACCTCATCCGGCAGGCAGTCCTGCAGGCCTCGCGTCAGCTCAGCCACGTTCTCCTCCTCCAGGCCAGGAAGGGTGAGGCCCTCCAGGTGCTCCCCATCCTCAGCCAGACGCACCAGGCAGCAGCGCAGTCCCGCCTGCACCTGGGCCCAGTGGGGGGACGCCAAGGCCAGCAGCTGCCGCTCGGACAAGGGCAGGGAGACGGAGCTGAGAAAGGAGTCCAGGAGGGAAGCAGCCAGCTGAGCCACAGAAGGCTTCAGGGCCACGACCAGCACCTCCTCTGCGCTGGGAATGTAGCAGGCGCCCACCCCGCGCTCAGCAAGCCGTTCCACCAGGTGCTCCCGCACTTCTGCCAGCTGCAGGAACTCGAGCACCCAGGCTGAGCAGGGCAGCCGCTCCTGCACCACCGCATGCAAGGCGGCCTGGATGTGCTCCCGCAACTGCTGCCGCCGAGTTGGATCCCCACCCGAGATGTGTAGCTCAGCCTCCTCGCAGCGCAGAATGCACTCGGGAGCAGAGGCCCCCAGCTCCTGCAGGACGCCCGTGGACTGCAGCAGTCGCCTTGTAGCTGCTTCTGCGACAGGAAGGGTGGTGGGCAGGGCCACGCCAGCTCCTGCCGCCTGCAGCTCTGCCGCTGCCTCCGGGGGCTCCAGGAAGTCGTAGTGAGGGGAGACCTTCAGGTTGCCAACTGGGAGCTGGTGGGGCTGCTTCAGCACCCGATCCACCACTGCGGGAAAGGAAGGCAGCAGGATGAGAGGAGCCTTTTCGGCACCTCTCGGAAGTGGAGCCAGGAGACGCGTCTCAAACAGCCCTCACCTGTGCGGTCCTGAAAGGAGACCACGGCCAACATGCCCCCCGGGAGAAGCCGCACTGCCTGCACACGGCCCCCGCCACTCCGCCTGCTCTCAAAGTAGAGGGTCAGCACCTCTGGCTGCAGCTGGCTGTCGTGGGGACCCCGGACCAGGATGCTGTCTGTCTGCTCCACCCAGTCCAGCACCAGGCTGGCCCCGTCCAGCAGCCGGCTTTGCACACGATCCGCCAGCGCCAAGAACTCTGCCAGGGAAGCCGAGGAACCAAGTCAAGGCAGCCGACGAAGACGAGCGGCTGCCGTTCAGCTTTGCCCTAGGAGCTGCCCTCTCTTCTTTCCACCCCCCCCAAGCCAGGTTGCTGGGAAAGGATCTCCCCTTCAGCTTCTCTGGAGGTTCCAAGGGGGGAGCCAGCTAACCTTCCTCCCTCCTTTGGAAACTGATGGCACAACTGGAGGCCAGAGGCTAGTTTCCAGGCCCAGCGAAGCCAGGAATCCCTGGCAGATGATGGCTAACTCTGCCCATCATGCAGGATCCTTCCTGGTGGGCACACAGTCCCAGCTAGCCAAAAGCCGCAGCCTACGTGACGTAGCTTGGTGCAGGACTGCAACGTTTGGCAAGGCAGTGGATTTCCTGCCCTTTGGGTGCCTGCCCCTGCTGGTGTTTCTCGGGGAGGGGGGCAGAGTAAGGGAGCAGGGGCAGAGAAGAGGCCCAAGGCACCTGGTGGCAACCCCACTTGGGGGGCAGGAAGGCCCCTCAGGTGCCCACCTGGGAGGGAGCATAAGGAGGCTCAGCTGGCTGCGTTCTGAATGGAGGTGAGCTCCACAAGTACCTGGGTGGCTGAGCACCACCTGCAGCTGCACCAGCGCCTGGTCCCCGGCAGGGCTGCGGCAGATGGAGTAAGCGTCCCTCTCGCAATCCAGCAGGTGCTCCACGAACAGCTCCACCAGCTCCAGGCTGCTTTGTGGGTTCAGGCCCTGGAGGAGCACCTTCCCGTAATCCCGAGGAGCGGCGGGCTGGACCGTCAGCTGCACCCCTTGCAGGGCATGGTCACTTCTGGAGAGGACCCTCTGGGCATCTGCCAGGGAGGAGACCAGCAGGCGAGCTCCAGGAGGAAGGTCCTCACCCCAGTGGCCAGCCAAGCCGCTACCAGGGACAGGCCTAGGCAGACCCCAAGCCCTGCGGCAGGCCTCTGTGACCAGCCTCCCATCCAGGGCCTCAACCCCTCCCAAGCCAAGTCCCTGAAGGGCCCGGCCACCAGTTTGGGGCAAAGCTGGAGCACTAAAGACCCCAGCCTCATAGCCACCTGGGTCCCTTGCACAATGGACTACGCTTTCCATCACCCCCAACCTCCTCAGTCTTAGAACATACGGACTCTGTAGCCGAAGGTCACTGGCTGCTTTTGCAACGCCTGCTAAGCTCAGCTGGTGTCGACGGGTAGCCCCTGGGCCTTAGTGGGCCGCACAAGCCCACGCAGCGCACGGCCCAGGGAGGGTAAGCGGGTGGGGGGCAGGCATTGCGAAGAGGGCAGCCGCTCTGTGAAGCCCTTGGGGCTGCCGGCCTCCCCCTCGGGCAGAGCCCCAGGGCCGGAAGCGTTGCTGCCCGCCTCCCGCCGGCCGAGGCCCTCACCTTCGGGGCGCTCAAAAGTTAGCGTGGCGCGGCCGCCCCTCCGCCGCCAGCTCTGCACCGGCCCGCCGCCCGAGCGCCGACGGTTCTCAAAGTAAAACACCAGCAGCTCATCGGCCACGTCCGAGGGGACCCCGAGCACCGCCACGGCCGTCGCCGCCGCCGCCGCCGCCATGGGAAAAGCCCAAAAGTCCGCCCGAAAGAGCGAGGAAGTCCGGGAGGGCGGAGACCCCGAGGCCCGCAGCCGCAGCCTCGCGGGAAACGAAAGCGAAACGGCCCGCGAGCAAGAAGGGGCGGCGCCGCAGCTGCCTTCCTCCCTCCGGGCGGCCGCCCCGCCCCGCCCTCGGATCTCCCCAGGTGTGCCGCTGGACTCCAATCCCCCCACAGCCCTCTGCGACCACCGCGCTTTCCCGGGGGCGGGGGGGGGGCGCTGCTGTCCGGCTGCTCCTTCCCCAGGCTTCGGAGCGAACTACGATCCCCAGGCAGAAAGACCCCCCCCCCCGCTGCCCCGCCCCTCGGCCACGAAACCCCGCCCCGATGTGGAGAAGCCTTCGCATATGCCCGACTCGGCGGTCGGGGCGCTGCTGTACCCGATGCCTGGAGGCGCGGGGGGAATCCCTCAGGCGGAGGCTGGGCCGGCGAGCGAGGCACCTGCAGGGGCACGCGTGGCGTGGGGGGTCCGTGGCCCTTCAGAGCCACGCGGCACCCTCCGGCGGCGTCGCCCGGGCACAACCCCGTTGGAGGAGCCCGGGGCTTCAGGAGGATCCTGGGACGCCCCCCACCCCCCATGACCGCTTGCCCAGCCCAGCCCTGGGGAGCCGCTTCCGAGAACCCCTCAGAGCCTCCCCGGGTGCGAGGCAGGCCTGCCGGCCGGCGCCAAACGCTGGCACGGCCTGGCGGGTGGTCCTCGGCGGGAGGGGGGAGGAGCAAACTACACTCCCCAATTGGAGGTTTCCTGCTTTCTGCTGCCGTTGGGGAAGCCGGAGGGATTAGGGATGGCTGGAAGGCTGCGGGAGGCAGAGCTTCGCCTCCTCCGGTGGGAGGGAAGAGGTTTTTCAAGCCGGCCTTAGCACGTTTCCCCTCGGTACCTAAAGGGTCCTGAGAGGTTGGCAGGGCTGAACTTGTCGACGGCACATTTTATAGAGAGATTTGAGAATTTTACTCAGCACCTTTCAGTAATTCCCAGGGAGAAGAGGTGAATTTCTAGTATAAAACTTAGTATATGCCAGTCACCATGAGTGCAATCCACACTACACAACTGCAATTACACAGCAGTTGCAGTGAACATGGCTTTGTGAGTCTAATATCCTTACTTTTTAATTTGTTATTATTGTGCACTTTCCTAGGTGGACAATGGCACATTTTCTTTGTTTTTCTGTGCTGCAATTTTGATGATCTGATCTTTGATCATAAAAGATCAAACTAAACAAATCATAAAACAATCTGTAAGTACATTCAGAATTGGGCAAGGCTTACTGGAGGGGTGGCTAATAACAGGCAGAAATAGGGATGAATTCTGGAAAGGAGTCAAACAAAATGGAGCCCACAAGAGAATGCCAGGGGAAGGAAAGCGGGGCTCCTTTCATAGAAGCTGCTGTGCTCCAGGTCTGTGTTGGAGTAGTCACCAAAATAGTTCGATCGCACACTCTGTGATCAATGAAACATTTTTGAGCCATGCACTCACCATGTACAAAGGTTTATCAGGGAGGGAGGGAGGGAGGGAGGAAGCAGGGACAGCTCCCTGCAAGCACCCAGAGACCTGCCTGGCAGGGGGTGGGCTCCTCTCCTTGGGCTCAGAGGGCGGGAGAGAAGAGGGCCAGGCCAGATTCCAGAGGACTAGAGCAGAGGCAGCATTCATTTCCTGGTGTTGTGGAAAGATCCAATGGAAGAAACAAAACACAGCAACACAAAACAACAATTCTTACTTTGAGATTCAGAGGTTTATTTTGCTAATAGTTTGGGACATAAACAACCATCATAACACAACTTACTGTAATGAACCATTGCAATGAGTCCACTGTCACTGGTCCAGTAAAGACAGCTATGGGCCGGTGGCCCTGAACACACATTCCTAGGCATACTTTTTATGCTCTTCTGCGCGCATTTCACAACTGCCTTCCTTGTTCTTCCTTTCTGAGTCACTTTCCACCTTACTGATGCACATCTGAAATCTCTATCCATCTGCTACTTTCGGTTCCCTCTTTCTCACGGTTTCATCCTTCTGTGTCCAAATGTATAAAAGCTCCGTCCTTTGCAAAATCATGTTTCGCAATTAGCAACAGCTCAACAGGATTGCAAATAGTTCTGATCCATTTTCATCCTGTCTAAAACTTCGGTTCGTGTTGCTTGCAGGGGATGGCTATTTTCCACTCCCCCCCCCCCCCATTCTAACGGGGTTGTTTTTCCTCTCCCTCACTGGGAACGCAGCTCGACAAGAGGCCTCCGCCCGGGAAGAGGGCCAGGTGCAACGGCCGGGTCCACAGCCGTCCAGGGCAAGCCAACTCTCGCCTTCTGCCGACGCTGCAGGGGCCTCCCCGGGGCGACCCTTCCCTGGACCAACGGGCGGGGCGGGGGGGGCAGTCCCGGGTCTGTTGCGCCTGCGCGGGGCTTCAGCCGCGGGGGAGTCCAAGCTGCCCGCCCCTCGCGCCGCTCCTTCCCCCGCCGGCTCAGCGCTTTTCCCTGCCGACGATCCGGAGGGAGCCCCGCGCGCGCGTTCGTGCCAGCGCCGCGGCAGTTGGGGAGCCCGGCCGCGTTCCCGGCACCGGCTGGCGGGCGAGAGGCGCGGCCGGTGCGGTCGTGGTCGCCGAGTCCGCCCCCACCAGTCGACGCGGAGCCCGGCAGCGGCCAGGCCAGGCAGGTGAGGGCGGGGGGGCGGGCGAGGGACGCGGCTCGGCCTCGTCGCCTTTGCCGCAGAGCGGAGCCGCCCTCCGCCGGGAGGGAGGCCAGCTGAGCGGGCGCAGGAGGAGGAGAGGCCGCCGCCCGCCTTGCCTCCGCGCTACACCGCCGACCCCGGCCCGCCCGCGTCGGAGCCCCCCGCCCGGAGCCCCGGCCGCCCCACCCCGGGGCCTCTCTCTCCGCGCCGGCTGGGAAAAAAAGCCCCGGGCTCCTCGCTCGGGCATCGGGCGGGGGCGCCTGCGCGGACCCGGCCTCTTCCTCGCCCCCTCGGTTCTCCCCCGACGCCGCTTTTGGGGGGCTCCTCCACCGCCCCCCCCCCGCGGCCTTGGACCGAGGGGTCGCGGGAGGCGCTTCCGGCCATAGGCGGGCCGCCCAGCCCCTTTGGGTGGGGCTCCTGGGCCTCCTTTATGGGGGCGGGGGGCCGAGGGCCGGGAAGGGGAGCCTCCTGTTTCCCGCCCCGGGTTGTGATCGCCGGTTAGCGGTGAACCTCTGCTCCTTCTCCCCGCTGGGCTGGGACTCGGGCCTCCGCAAGGCGGGTGGTTGCTTTCCCGAGAGTCCCTGGGCCCTTTGCCCGGCTGATGCCCGGCTGGCCTTCCCCGGCTCAGCGCTGGGGATGGAGTCTGGCTCCGGGTGCCCGACGTGGCCCCTGCGGTCTCTGGGCCGGGAAGCTGAGCGGAGGCCTCCCGGGGTTGGAAAGGCCTTCGCGACCCAGAGGGAGGCGCATCCTGTGGGGGAACTTCCAGCCAGACCAGGAGGAGGGGAGATGAAGCAGGCAGGGAGAACTCGGGCCCGAGAGACCCGGGACTGACACCCCCCTCCCCAGCTTCACAGAGCCTTCCCTGCCTGCTCCCAAGGAGGGCGACCCCCCCCCCCCGAGATTCCTGGACTACAAGCCGGAGTCAACGGAGGTACTTCCCTCTTGAACTGTGGACCTGTGGGGGGGGGGCTTCTCTTGCGCCTGGCCTGTCCCCCTTAGCGAAGGAAGACGTTGAGGGCTCAGCCCCCCCCCCCCCCAGCAGGGCAGGCTGTTTGCAGAAGGTCTGCCCTGGCCTGGCCCTCCCCTCTCCTGCCCTCCCTCCCGTCCCCTCTGCTGCCAGGCAGCTCTCTGGGTGCTTGAAGGCAGCTGCTCCCCTCCCCCCTTAGCTGCTTTGTTTCTAGGGCAGATGCACCTGGGTGGTTTTTACCTGGCCCCCAAGCCCTCTCCATCCTGACCCCCCCTCCTCTGAACTCCTCCCATCTAGCAGGGTCTTTGGTTTAATGGGGGAGCCCCCACTGCACAGAGGACTCCAAAGGGCTCCGGCCAGTTCCTTGGCCCATTCCTCCCCACGCCCTCTTCTCTAAGCAAGGGGGCCCTGGTGCTGCCTGAGCCAGGTGGTTTTCTTGCAGACGTTTCATCACCCAAACTAGGCAACGTCATCAGGGCTAGAAGGGAGTGGGGTTTGCTCTCATTTTGTATTCTAATGACTTGCCCTGAATGCGGGTGGGGGAGATCTCAGAGGCTCTTTGGCTGGGCTGTTTACTGTTAGCTAGTTTGGTAGGTTGGGGTTTTGTTTACTTCTTGATTGTTGGTCTGAGATTAATCTTAGTGTTAATCTATGCTCATCTGGATATTGATAGGGGTGGGGAGGTGTTTGGTCATTTTGTTCCCTTTTGGGGTTTGTTGATTGTCCCTTTTATATACAGTATGTAGATGTTGTTTATGTCTACGTGTCCATTGATGGCCAATTGGTCAAGAGTGCCAGTTTTTAATTTTTTAATTTTTACACATCTCTTTATGTGGCAACATGATTCCAGATTATAACACTTGTACATAATCATACTTTCATTTCCACCAATCTTATATAATGTCATCTCATATTGTCCATTTCACTCATCTTTAAATAAGTTTCCATTTCATATTTCAATTCATTAATTCAATATCAATATCATTTCATCCACATATAGATTCCCAGTTCTTTATCCCCTATTATTTCCATTTTTAGCTTACCACCTATTTTATTTAACATTAAACATCATTCTTATCCTTAATTTTTCCTAAGCCAATTATATAATAAACAATCTAAAAAGAGCAAAAATAAGACAAAGCCAATATATTTAGGATCCACATGGTATATCTCCTCAATCTATCTAATTAAATAATTCATTCCCCACCTTTAAACATATTAACATTAAATAATCAACTGTATATTTTAAAACATATATTTTAAAGTATCCCCCCATAAAATTGCTAAAATAGTATAGTATAGTATTAGTATATCTCATTTTTTCACTTTTCTTTTAATCATTAATAATCATATTTCCCCCTTTTCTACTTAGACAAAATTTATATATTTTAATACATTTCACTTTCCTTATAATCATTAATATTTTTTCTTCCTTACCAC